GACATGGAGAAGCCAGATGCCACAGAACAGGTTTGGAACCAGTCAGCAAATGTTATGCAGGTTGAATTACAGGAAGAGGAGCAGCAGTTCTAGTGCACATTCTTCTTTCTCACTGTGTGATGAATTAGAGCTTCTTGCACACCCCTGGAGATCACCTTTCAGGAAGAAATTTAGCATCTTTTACATGTTTGTGTTATGAAACAGTGAACTGGAGAAATTACTGTAGGAAAGGAAAGCTAGGAAAGCCCCTTTCTTATGTATTCATTTTGATCTGCTACCCCTGCAGGTGGTTTGTTGTGTATGGAATGAAATGCAGCCCTTTAGACAGTTGTACTAATTGTTGCAGATTAGGTTAAAATTTAAACCCTCTGTAAAGGCAAAAATGATCCAAGTTTGAACCTAGTGAGCCAGTTGTAATGTGTTTGGTAAGTCTGAAGTGTGTAATGGCCAAACAGTGGGGAAGGCTGCACCAAAGGGGACCTGCAGTCCTGGCAGGGAGCAGTCCAGAAGACAAGCTTGGGTGAGCTGCTTATCAGATTATTACAGACCATTAGTTAAAGGAGGGAAAGGTCTCCCAAGGAAGGTGGAAGGAAATCACAGTGTGAGTTAGTTTCATTTGTCTCTCTTGTATTTGTTGTTCATGAATATGCAAACCTTCTGTATTTTGCCTTTTCGATGTCCATTCTATTTATTGGTAAATTATTTCATGTCAAAGTCTAGAATTTGATTTTCTTTTTGTAGCCCTGAAACTAAGGGTGTTGGTTTTTATCCTGGTACAGTTGTGTAAATCTTGATAGAACAGAGGGCCATAACTTTCCAGTCTGTTAAGTAACTTACTGCTGCAATTGATTCATAGATGCATGAGAAGGGGGTAGAGTTCCATGGTTTAAATGTTTGATATAAAAAATACCCCAACAAACTATTTTTCCAATAGCCTACAAATAAAAAATGCAGTCATTTGGATTACTTACTGACGTTTATGGAGGTCATTTTGCACAGTGCTGTGGGTGGTTGGGTCTGATTCAGTAAAACAAGCTAATAAAATTAGTCTCAGCTCCCAGACCAAGCTTGTCTCCACAGACTCCACATGTGAAGTAAGCTAATGCTCTCTTAGGAACTATACTCTTCATCCCAACCCACTCAGTCCTGCACCTAAAAATTCCCTCTGGCATCAGCCCTGGGTCTGGTGATTGTTAGTCACAGCCAGCATGCCCTGGGATGGTAAGAAAGGGACCCAAGCACTCTGCTTTTGAAGATATTCTGCTTATAGCAAGTCATTTACCTGTGTTTTCCTCTGGAATTAGGACTTTTAAAGATGAGTAAAGCATTGCAGGATAATCTACTTCTCTTTGCAGTTTGGCTGCTGAAAACGAACCAAAAATTTCTTAATCAACATCTGTCTTGTCATCAGCACTACAGGAAAGCAAATATATTTTCACAGTCAAGGAGCAAGGAACAGATGAGCTGTTAGATCTGTGTTTGTGCAGTGCTTCAATATTAGCAGGTTTATTGATGCATCAGAGTCTTTCCAGTGGGATGTAATGAACAGAGCAATGAGAGTGAGGAATGTGTTGTGTCCTGACAGTGGGGCTGGGCAGAGCAAAGCTGAACTGAATGGAGCAGCACTGGATGTTGAAATTGAAAATGCTGAAAACCATTTAACCTTTTAAGAATGTATTATTTACCTCCTACAGAGTTCCCCAAATGGAAGGGGATATTTTTGCTTCTAAGTACCTGCAGCTTTCTAATAAGTTGTTTTGTTACAGTAATTCTTAGCTGGCCACTGATATGTACCTAGGCTTGAGTGTGCACTATTTTGCTGCAGACTGTAAAATTTAAATTTTGCTAAAGGTTCTATTTTCTAGCTGTATATATTACTGTAATAATTAAATTGCCATGTGAGGTATGCAGTTAGTCTGCATATGAAACAGTGTGGGACAGGAGACCCAAACAATGAGATTTTTGGAGCTTGTGTATGAACATTTATGCATTTAGGAACATTAATGGATATTTTCTGATTGCAAAGAGCATTGCCTCAGCTCATAAAAATGGTGGTGAGACATCAACTGCATGTGTAGAAGAAACAGTGGAGTTCTCAAAGCAGTTTTAAGTGGAGAGCAGCTCACTTTCTATGGGTGAAGCATAACATCCTGCAGTAACTAATTGTCTAATACTAAGTGGTGGTAATATTCACAGTGATTCCCTGGTTTGTTGGTATTTAATCTTTTAGAGGCATAAGATTGCAGTTCTGCAGATATATATGCATATTACATGCAGGCACTCTACTTTAAGGTCTCTTGGATCCAACAGCTGACCCTAAACCAGAATACCTTTTAATTTTCTTTTCCTATTGAAGCACTGCAGGCAAAGGATGCCACAAAGCTCACAGCCTTATGCTGAACATGCTGTCAGCTTTTGATAGAGGTTCATTGATTCATTCCCTGCATTTTCAGTCAAATCTGATCATCCTCTCCTATCTGATGGTTCACCATATTTTTAGAAATTTGTTTATCAAATAGCTGCTACCTCTACCCAATGGCTTATAGATGGACTTCTGCTGACCTGCTGCTCTTATCTGTGGAACCTATGCTCTGTTTTCAAAACACCCTCATCTTTACAAGGGCTTTGGAGTTAATGTGCTGTGCAGCAAGCAAAACAGCCTTTTGTTCATCCAGCTTCTCTCAGTGTGCAAGTGTGTGGACAGTGAGTGCTGTCCCTGCATCACCTGGGAAGGGGTAACCCTGGCAGCTGGAAGATTGCCATGTTAAAACCCAGCTGGTAGTATGAACAGAGAAAGGCAAAACCATGGTGCTTTGCTCTTCACTATAATCAGGCCAGCAGCATACTTGTTTTTATTTAGCAAGCTTATCTGGATAATATTATAGGACTCAACAGAATGCAGCTACAAAATCCTTGTAATTTCATCAAGCACATTGGACTAACAATGGCAAGAGCCTTATATCCTTATATCCAGCAGTAGATCCTGCCAAAGACACACATGGCTTAAACCTTCCTCCTTTCCCTAAAATGATGCCACATTTGAAGTCTTTCTCAGTATAGTCAGAACTCTTATCTCCAGATTACTCAACTATGCAACTCAATAGCTAGAGAATGCTTCTGAATTATGAATGAATGCTTTGTTTAAAATCCAGTAGCTTTTTTTTTTTTTTTTTTTTTTTTTTTTTTTTTTTTTTTTTTTTTTTTGGTGTAGAAACTTCCCTGACTTCGCTGCCCAGACTTTACCAGTGTGGAATATCTTCACAGAAATCTGCATAGTAATCTTAATAGTGATTGTGAACATTAACTTTGTAATCCTCACTTGGAAGTGTGATGAAGTATAGATACAGCAATAAACTGGAACAGGAAGCAAGGAGCAGAAGAGATTAGGGTAGAGATTGAAAAACCTCTAGGGAAGGACACCATTAGGCTAATGGTGAGGGATGTGCTGAGACCTGCTGGATGAGGGCTTTGCAAAGGCTGGGAGCAAGTGAGGAACATGAGGCTCCTATGCTTCTCCCTGGTCCCCCCAGGATCAGGGGAAGGCACCAGTCAGTGTATGGACAGCTGGCAGTGTACCTGTCACACACAGGGATGTATGGACAGCTGGCAGTGTACCTGTCACACACAGGGGTGTATGGACAGCTGGCAGTGTACCTGTCACACACAGGGATGTATGGACAGCTGGCAGTGTACCTGTCACACACATGGGTGTATGGACAGCTGGCAGTGTACCTGTCACACACAGGGATGTATGGACAGCTGGCAGTGTACCTGTCACACACATGGGTGTATGGACAGCTGGCAGTGTACCTGTCACACACATGGGTGTATGGACAGCTGGCAGTGTACCTGTCACACACAGGGATACAGCTACAGCCACCCTTCCTGCAGACACCTGGGGCTGGTATTGGTACTGCTGAGAGCCCAGTCAGGATGCCTGGCAAGAGCAGGGCTCTTCAGATGTCTTCAGCCATTAAACACATCTCCATCTACCCCCCCACCCCCCAGTGGGTTTGTAGGGGTTTTTTCCCATTCAGCAGGTGTCCTGTTGGAGAAGGATGTTGTGCTCAAATTGATGTCTTGCATTCTTAAAGCCATTTTCATGCTCTGGGTGAATGGGATACTGTACTGCTAATATACACTATGGTCAGTTATTTTAACCTGCTAATAGTACTCTTTATATAAATGTGAATTGATACTTTTCTCCCAAGGCATTTAAAAGCTGGCTCTTGTGTATTTCAGTAATACTGTTTATGCTAGACAGGAAACAATCATAGGTCAAACCTTGTAAAGTTATGACTAGCTTCAAAGTGTAGTATAGACAGTATAGATACTGTCCTTTACTTAATACAGTATCACTCACTGAGGTCTGTCCTTCATCATTACAGTTGTCTGAGTTTCATAATATCCCAATTTCTTCAATAAAACCAGTCAAGCTTCCTTTCCAAAGTAGGTTTCTTCTGCCCCTTATTGCCTCTTCTAGGAACCTGCTGTTTTGTAATCTGAAATAGTGCAATATCAGAGTTGTTAGTGATTATGGTTACCATCTCAGTCTTCATATTTCTAGCCTTCTGCCACACTGATCCTGATTTCCCTACTACTGTTGTGGATGTCTTTATTCCCTTCACTGAGGTGTCTGATTTTGCTGGAGGAGGGGGTGGTGCCCTCTTGTCACCACTGCAAAGTGGTGATGCACCTCCTGTTCCCCAGGGCAGGGGCAGAAAAGGAAGCAAAGCTGCTGTTTGCACAAGGTAAGGAGGATGGGTAGGAGAGGATGTGAAGGGTTTACCTAGGGAAGATGTGCCACAGGGAGGGGAGAGCTGGAGATCTTTCCCATGCTGAGCCTCCCCCAGACCTCACTGACACCGTGTCCAACCATCATGCCAGGGTTGGAGGTGTGTGACCAGGACTTGGATTTCTGGGATTTCTGGTGCCAGGCAGAGGAATGCTCTTCCCTGGCCTTGGCCCTGGTGTTAACCATGTTGCTTTGTTTACTCTAGATACACTTTATACTGCTGTTCAGTCGGCAGGGGAAGTTAAGGCTTCAGAAATGGTACACGACGCTACCTGATAAAGAGAAGAAAAAGATCATTCGAGAAATTATTCAGATTATTTTGTCTCGCAATCAAAAAACAAGTAGTTTTGTTGACTGGAAAGACCTCAAGCTTGTTTACAAAAGGTGTGAGTAATTTTGTGAGAACGTATAATCACTGTTCATATGAGTAACACATGCTAGAAGAGGACAAACAAAGGCTCACCTAAGGAAAAGCAGCAAACAACACTCGTAGAGCTGGGCTGAGTTAGGAGCCTGCCATTGGCAATCTGGGTATAACAAGGCAGTGTCCCTGGACACACCAGCAGGGTCATTGTGGGGTGCAAAATACTTGTACAGTCTGTCAAATGAGAAAAACACGAGTAATGTAATAGGTTTTGGTTTTTAGAGGGATTAGACCTCACTGCCCCTTCAAATTCCACAGGGTAGCCTGGCTGAGATGTGTGTGCTGGATTTTATTAGCTGTGGAGATTGGAGGAATTGTTCCAAGGCACTTCCATAATTCTGTCAAATTTTGTTTTTGAAATATTTGTTGCTCTGGAAAGTGTTAATTCTCATTTCATTTTCCAAAGAAATCACTGATCCCCATTCCACAATGCCTAATGTTAACTGCCTGTTTGTTCTCCTACAGCTGTAGCAAGCAAATGTAGCCTTAATGTGTAGTACACTGGGTAAATTAATCATCTCCCATTTAGCAAAAACTGAGTTCCATACTGTGATGGGAAGCATATAAACATCTGATCAGAAGCTGTGACAAAGTGGCCTCCAGCCACAGTATCAGCAAGCTGAATAGATCTTGGGTTGGTTTAAACATAAAGTTTTGGTGCAAGTTAACTACAAAGCTTCTTTGATCTAAGCAGCTTCATGCATTCTGGCCCTCTGTAAAACACTGTCATTTGACAGCCAGCAGATGACAAATGCTGAGATGTAACAGATGTAACTTCTTTCACCTTTGCCTTATTTTTATTTTTTAATTAGAAGGGGTGGCTTCTCCTACAGTCTAATTAACCCCACTCACTGCAGTGCTATTGCAGCAGGAGGAGACCTGAAGGAACTACTTACTACTGATTTATTGCCTGTTTCAGTGTTACCACTTTACCAGTGTCCCACTTTACCAAGAGTGAAGTTGGTTCTTCTAACCAAAATAATAATTTGAATCATCTGATCTATGAAAGTGTTCTCTGGGACACTTATCAGAGTGACAGAAAATGTTTACTTTAGAGACTAGATAAGAACTAACTGTCATATGAATGACCTGTAAGAGATGAGCAGAGCACTGAGGTCCCAGCTGTTGACTGCCATGTGTTTGCCTGTGTTTCCCCAGGTATGCTAGTTTGTATTTCTGCTGTGCAATAGAAGACCAGGACAACGAGCTGCTGACACTAGAGGTCGTTCATCGATACGTGGAGCTCCTGGACAGATACTTTGGAAATGTAGGTTTCACTTTCTCCCATGAACTCGTTCCTGTCTGTCTGATAAACAAAATTATGTGGAGCTGATTTGCTTTGTGTTCCATCTGCTGCACTTGCCCTGCAGGAGCTCTCAATCCAGATTGAAATTAATTATTAAAGTGTTTTTTAAACAGTGCTGAAATGGTCATAAGATTGTTTTCTCATCCTTTTTCCACTCACCCAGAATTAATCTTGATGCTTTGTATGTGTCTTGGTATAGAATTTGAAGGGAAAACTTCAGGAAAAATTATTTTAAAAACTCAAAATAGGTTTAGTTTTTTTAGATTTGTTTTCTTTGTTTGAATTTTGTTTGATTTGTTTGGTTTAATTCTCTCTCCTGACATTTTCAGATGCACTGGTTTTGTTTGTCTCATAATACTGTGTAACAATTAAGGACATAGAGGCAAAAGATAAAATCAGTGTTTTTAAAGAAAAGACTTAGAGAAGGTCCAAACAAGTCTTTCAGTAAGTCTTTAGAGAATACAAGAGGCCCATTTTTTCTCTGAATATTTTTGAAATTATCCTTTCTACCTTAATTCATATCTTAGTTAAATCAGTGTGCCATGACATGTCTGTACTTCCTCAAAACTAAAAAGCAGTTGGTGGCTCCTGCTGAGCAGGGAATTTTCTTGCTCTGTGAACCCAGGTAACCCATACCACAAGGGCTGTGTAGGGCCTGTGATAAGGTTAGTGGGACAGGAAGTCAGCTTGTATCTCTGACAGCCAGCATGAAGTTAATAATAAGTGGAATATCTCTGCTGTAAGTCTGTATATGTGGAGAGAACGTGTGCAGAAGCTTCAATATTACATTACATGCAGTTTGTTTCTTCACCCTGCTACCTGCACAGGGGTGCTTATGCTGAGGATATTTGATCATCACAACAGCTCTTGGCCTAGTAGTGCTTATAATACTGTCAAAGTGGTTTAAATGTGCCTCTCGCCTCTTGTTCTGGCAGGTGTGCGAGCTGGATATTATCTTCAATTTTGAAAAAGCTTATTTTATTCTTGATGAGTTTATAATTGGTGGAGAAGTACAAGAGACTTCAAAGAAGACTGCAGTGAAAGCCATAGAAGACTCTGACATGTTGCAGGAGGTAAGGCAGAGGAGGACAAAAGGCAAACACCTCATCTTCCTAATCTTCCTTATTTGACAGGAGATGAAAACACAGCTAAGCACTTCTGGTACTTAATTATCCAAGTGTGTCTTACATTCAGTTTCAACAGGTACAACAGTGCAGATACATAAGCTTTCAATTCAACCCTTTTGGTATCATCTGGAGGGTCTTTATATAAAGCTGTTGCTCTCTTGCAGCTTAACTGCTAGAGTTTATTAAGAAATAGTTTAAGATGTATCTAAGATATTTCTCTAATATAAGAACATAATCTAAGGTTATATTTTATGTATGCATATGTAAATACAGAAAATCTCTTCTATTTCACTAATAGCATTGGAAACGTGACCTACTATTAACATTTAAAATTGGAAAGAGTATTTGCTGGCAAACTCTGCTTTCATTCAGAAGCACCTGTGTAGTTTTTCTGTAGGGCACAGATATGTAACCCTTATTCAGAGCCCTGCAAGAATTCTCTTGTAACTTGGAATGTAATGAGTGACATTGAGGCAGAAATGGCAAAACCAGTTGCATGTGATGGGTTTCATTCATTTTTTTACCTTGGTAGTGAAGGATCCATCACAATCCTGAAGGGAGCAGCACAGTGGTAGAACTGGCTTGGGCTGTGCTGTGGGAGTTGAGCAGGTTTCACCTGCTCTGCCCTGTGCACATGGAACTCAGCCACTGTGTGCAAAGGCCACTGGCATGGTGAATGATGAGTTTGGCCACAGCTATGCTATGGCATGATTTATTTTAGATAATTTCCTGCAAAACTACAGCAGTCCTCAAAGAGGACAAAAGGATTTCTCTGAATATTACTTTACCATTCCATAATGAATCAGTTGTTTCTTTTTTGTTTTGTTGGGGGTTTGTTTTGTTTTGTTTTGTTTTTTTGTTTTTGTTTTCTAGACAGTGGAAGAATACATGAACAAGCCTGCATTTTAATGTTAAACTACCTGGAGAGAAAACTGCTGTATGCACCTCCAAAGTGCACTTCCTGAAATTCTTCCCAATGTGCCAGATCTTCAGAGAAATACCAAAAACCAATAACTGAAGGGGTTTGTTTGTATAATGGTGAAGATGAAGGTCAGCTAATGTAGCAAAGGGTTTAACAATTCTGTGCTTTGCATTACTCTGTACATGAGTTTCTCAGAGTTGTTATTGCCCCAGTCTAGTTTCTCCTCTTGTTGCTGGACTCAACTCTTGTTTTGTACCACGTCTTTTAGCTACGGGTTTTGTCATCACAAAATGCTCCTCTGACAGTACTTTGAAGAGGTATTTTTACTAGTTTTGTTCACTGCTGACTGTATGACTCTACTTTTGTACAAATGTCCATTATTTTGAATGTAATGGTTATTCTGCTGTAATAATAATTTTTTTCTAAAAGCCAAATTGTTGTGGGCCCTGATTTCACAAACTTGTTGTGACAAGATTAACTGTTGAAGTATATGAGGAAATATGCATCTCTTTGGAGCAGCTCCTTTCTTTCACTGTCTTCCTTCTCTTTTCTGCTCTAGTCTGCTAATAGATTGCTCCAACTGCTCCTAGAGTGCACTCCATGCCTCCTTTTAATCTGGAAGACTGTTTGAAGGTAGGCTTCTCCTGAGTTTAATCCTCTATATGCTGCTGCATGCAGATGGCCTGTTTCTGTCTTTCTCTTCATTTTCCTATCCCCTTCCTAGATCCCCTGGACCTCTCCAAAGGCTCCAGACTTTGAAATTGTGCAGCGTGAGTGCAGGAGAAAACCTGAAGAAAAAAAATCAGCCTTTGGAAGATAATCTTTTATATCTTTTGGTATCCCAAACCTGTATTTCCCAGTAGAGTTTTCCAGTCTCAAATTCATGCACCTGTTGGGATAATCAGCTTTCTAGTAGTTGAAGATGCCCTGGTTTTTGAAGGTTGAGCAATTTAATCAGCTTTTTATAACTCTGCAAGCTGTGAAAAGGATAACATAGTAGAGAGGAGTCAGCTGGGCTGTGTGTTACAAGCCATTGCAGCAGAGTGTGTGTGGAGCCAGGTGTGCTAACTTGCCTTTCAGTGCAGTTCAGACTCTATAAACTGATTGAACTGGCTCCCTTAGAGAGATTGTCCTCCTTTAACAGAATCCAAAGCTCAGAGAAATTCTGTTTATCTGAACCCATAACTCTCAGCTAGATGTTTTGTTTCTGTCAAATAATGAAATTACTCTACACAAAAATTAGGGAAGTTATCAGACAAATATGCCAGAATGATGCAAGAATTGTTGCATTTCCCTTCAACATTCCCCTTGATTTCTGGGATGTACAGTCAATATTTTCTTTCAGAGGTCTTTCTAATCTTTAAATGTCCTGAATGCTTATTCTGATTTTGGTATTGCTCCTTCCTTCCTCATCAGTTTGTATATTCCTACAGAAGGGACACTGGGGTTTTTTGGAGAGTGGGGGCACTTTCACACAACACAACTTTGCTGGTTGTCAGCCCACTATTCTGCCTGTGCTTTCCTGTCTGTTAGTAAAACTGTGACAAACTGGTTCATAGCATCACGTTGCTCTTTTTTATAATTATTTTATCCATCTGTTTTCTCTGTATTGATGTCAAAAGCATACTTTCAGCCTGGAAAAGACAGTGAAAATTTCTGAAGGGCCTTTAATAGCTCTGAAACCAATCAATTTAATAGTAAATTAATGAAATGGTATTATTTGTATATTATTTTCTCATGGTTTGAAATTAAGTTTTTTAAAGTACAGTGTTTAATTGATTAAGAAATCACTTCAGAATGTGCAAAGAGGCTCCTTCTGCTCTTTCCCTTTATAAATGACTTCTACTAACTGAAATCATCAGTAGTTTGATTTTACTCCCTTTTGGAGCCATGCTGTGATTCTCTGACTCTTAACAGCTGTCATGTTGGTTGAATTCTGAATTAGATCAAAATAGGAGTATCAAAAAGATTTCTTGGTACAAGAGCCTGTCTTTTCAGTCATTTTAAGAAGAGCTAGAAGGCTTCTTGCTCCATCATTTTCAAGTTGAAGAGAATTCCTGATGGAAGAAAATAATGGACTGGGTAGAGGTACTTATACCAGCCATGTCAGTGTAGCATCTGAAGTAAACAGCATTGCCAAACTGGTGTATCCAGTGGCAGCTTGAGAAGTGTGAAGGAGTAAGTCTGGTAAGTGTGAAGGAATTAGTGTGCTTTCCTTACCCTAGTGCAAAAATTCCTTGGAATATGGTGTGCCTGTTGTGCCAGCTGCCTCTGTGCTACAAAGATGAATGGAAAGCATGTTAAGTACTCTAAAAGAACTGCTGAATTATGTTCATGCTTCAAGAAACTTCTACAGACTCCTGCTGCTTTTGTGTGTAGGAGAGCTCCACAAAGCAGGAGGTGAGCCTGAGCTGATGTGACTTTGCCTGCATACTTAAAAACAGGTGGGTTTGAAACATAAAACTTGTATTTAAACTTCTTAGAACCTTCAATGAGAAAGGGATCACTCAGATAAGTAATGTTGTAATGGAATTCAGTTCACCTCAAGTCTTTCTCCAAAGGGAAGAAGCCCAAATGAAGCCCAGTTGTTGTCGGGTCACCTTTAGGTTGCTGTCAGACTGCACATGTTCCCATCTTTGTGAACTTCATTGCCCCTAACTGAACCCTACACGGATTGGTGCACTGCAGTGCCTAGCTCATCAGAAGATTTGTGTCTCCTGATGTCTTAGTTCCTTGATTTTTCTTGGAGCAGGAGGTGCATATGTCTTGTACGTATTCACTAATCTCTGAAGCATTGCCATTTATATTTGCTCTTGATGTTTCTCTTTCCAACTTGCCTGACTATCCTAGGCAATGCTCAATGTCAAGTTTTCTGAGAAACTTTATGAAATTATTATCCAAAAAACTATTAGCAAGGTCCTTAAATATTCCTCACCTGATAATCTTTTACCATTACCTAAACTCTCACCTTGCTGACAAGCTTCCAGCACACGTCCTAGTTTGCAAAATTGCATTTACTAAAATAACCATTAATCACAGTCATGGTGCTAGCCTAGATTCCCTTCCTTGCTCTCACCAGCTGCATGTAACAAAAAGCTGCTTGATTTTCATGTGAGCATCCCTGCCTGGAGGATTCTTAGTGTGATCTTGCTGCTCAGTGGTTGGGACAGAGCTGCTTCTCTGTCATGCAACTATTTGCAGCACATAAGTTCAGAGACACCTCTGAACATATCCTGGCAGAAGAGACAAACATTAGACTGGGATAAAAATAAATGTAATAGTGTCCAAAGTAAAAGAAATGTGACAAATCATGTTGAGTGAGAGGCAAGAGCAGCAGGATTGCACAGGATTCATGAATTTTTATAATTTTTGTTTCTTTTTTCATTGTAAATTTCTGAGTGTTCATTAAAAGGTGTCAGTTCCTTAAAATAATTTAAGAAAACTGACATTTAGGTTGCCTCCTATCAGATTTGTTTAACCAAAAGCCTCCGAATGTCTTCAATACCTTCTCCAACTGCTCCTGCAACCCACCTGTGCTTTCAGAAATCCCAGTGGGAAACTCAAGGTAAAGTTCAGGTGTGATTCTGCATCTGACTTTTCCTTGGACAGAATAATGTACTTACAAAAGAGTGAATTTTTTTTTCCTTTATTTCACAGCCCTTTCAATAGCAAACATATTTTTTTATCCTCTGCTTAGGAGGAGTAAGTGCTGCATTGGAGTAATGGAGCATGCAGAATGCATATGTGAGGTGTTGGGTGGGGCAGGCTTCTAAGGGGAGATCAGAGTGTGAGTGGGGCTTTCAAAGATAGAGCTGTTCAGTCCACAGTCCCCTCAAAATAACAAGGCAGCTCCCAGAGAGAGAGCTCTCATTCCTGCCTGTCCCTGACGCTCTGCTCCCCTGGAAGTGCGTGTGAAGGAATTTATTTCTGTCAGCACAGCTCTTGTGAGGGGGAGTTGCTCTCACCCTGCCTGAGATGACTAAACCCAAAGGTCTCAGTTCTGCAGCTGATCTGTATGGGGGGGTTTTCATTGCCTTTATCCAGTGTCTTTATGAGCGTGGAGTCTGCATCATCCTCCTGCATCACTGGATTTAGAGGGCTGGCAGAGCTCTGAGCTCAGACCAGGTAGCAGTGTCCTTCTGGGGGAGCTGACAGCATTCCTGCTCAATTCACTAGTGTGTGTGTTCCTAGGCAGGATCACAGTACAAAGGAAATAGAGCTGTTGATTTAAATGTCTGTTAGCATATTTCAGGGATCTTTTTTCATGAGGGTGGCTGGGCTGGGTTACAGTATATGAGTGAAAGCTTTGTGTTTGTAGCAGAAATAACAGGCTGTGCTGCAGGAGAGTTAATGTTTGCTGTCATGGAAACCTGTTGCCTTGGAACATGATTAATGACACAGGCTAAGGGAAAGGGAGAAGCTATTGAAATTAGTGTTCAGCAAACCCTAAGCAAGACCAGCAGCATACAATACTATGAATTTTAGTTATTTCAGATTCTGTTGTCTAGTTCACTTAACCTTGTCTTCTAATTTACTTACTCATCAGCTCTTATAACCACGCTTTTGTGCAAAGTTAATCCTCTGGCTGACTAGAAAGAAATAGCATGTTACTTGCACTCCCAGTACACTACAAAATTTGTTCAACTTTTGTGGAAAGCACACACTGAAGGCAAACTTGAGGCTGGTCTGGAATGCCAGGGGACAGTAGCAGTTTAGCTGAGGACTTTTGCCTTTTGACTGTAGTGGTAGGTTTCAAAGAGTCCAGGAGTATGAGGTAGGGAATATTTCTGTGCACTGAGCCATTTGGAGAAATCTGGTTACTCCTGTGTACTGGTGTGGTAAGATTGCTATTCTGTAATGCTGAAAGGAAACATTGAGGGAAACATACAAAAGATGTTTTGAAGTTGGTGACACCCTTCTGCCATCTCCTCTTAGAGTTCCCACTGAGATTTCTTTCTTCTGGAGTTCCTTCCAAACCCAATTTCTATCATTACACCCCAGATTCTGCCATGGGGAATAGAATGTTCTTCTCCTGCAGAAGTGAATTTGTGTGTCTGCTGTAAAAACAGCGCTGAATGTAGAATCTCTAGTTTACACAAGGTGACAAATTCATTAGAACTTGCTGTGAATTTCAGCTGCCCTCTGGACCAGGATCTTGCATGAATAAATTACCAGCAGCTCTAAGTCTCCCTGCCTTGTGGAGATCACACTTCAGGGCCCTCTTCCAAGCTCACAGAGAGGGGTCAGCCTTAGCTGGGCTGAGCCAACAATGACAAGTCACAGGGGAGCATCTTCACAGAAGTTTCAGGTGAAAGAACATTTTTATTTCTCCAGAGGGCTTAGGGTGGGGTTCTAGGTGAATATTATGCTGGATAACAGCTCTGAAGGCACAATCTGACAATGTAGCAAGAAGGAAATATTCTGAGA